AGTATCTATTTTCCCTCCTCACTCCCTTTAATTTGAAAGGAAAAAAAAGATAAAGTTTTTTAGTTAAGCAAAACAAATTCCCACATTGCCTAAGTCCAAAAACGGTACAGTAGCTCGAATTTATCACCTCTCTCTGTCAGATGGTGGGTGGAATAATTCATCCCATAGTCCTCTGGATTCATGGTTGGTCTTTCTGTCAGTTAAGAGTTCTTAAGTCTATCAGTCTTTAGAATGCTATTATTACTATCTAAGTAGTTCTGCTTATTTTAAGGTAAGGACTCTTTAAAGAACTAAGAGAGTAATGAGGATGGGTGAGATAATGAGTCAGTTGACATGGTTCAAATTCCATCACTTACAATTTGTGTTACCACCTCTCTAGGGATCAATTTCATCACCTGCAAAAATGGTAGGACTAGATTGTCTGTAAGACAGGAGTTCTTCACCTTTTTGTGTGTCATGGATCCCACTTTGGCAATCTGCTGGACACTATTGACCCTTTCTCTAATAAATAGTTTTATATCCCCAGCACTTAGTATAGTGCCTTGCACATGGTAGGTGCTTAATAAATGTTTATTGAATTGAAGTGGACCAGTGAGTAGCTTATTTAAATAATGTATCAAGATTAAGTTAGACATAGACATATAAGTAAGATGTAACGAGCAGAGCAATGCCTACAGGACAATGAAGTTAAGAGCACTGAAAGCCCTAGTTTCTCCCTTACCTCTGAAAAAGTTGGTGAAAATGGAAAATGACTTTCTTTTCTCCTGATCCATTTTGCCACCTGGAAGCCCTGTCCCAGTGAGGTCCTCCCATCTCCATTTGGTCTTATTTCCCTTCTCCTACCGCCATCGTGCCCCAGCATCTCCTCTGCCATAACCACTCCTCCCAAATTTATTTGAGAGTAACATTTTTATACCAAGTGTGAAAATTGTTGATTCTATCTCTCCTTGGGTATTTTTCTTTTCCTGTCTGTGTTTTCTCAATTGGTTTTGATAAAATTAGGCAAGTTCTCCTGGCTATTGCTTTTCCTGGAGCGTAGGCCAAGGAAGTGAGTTCAGAAATTTTGGTGGACCCATTAAATCATTTAATAAAATAAATCTTTCGTTCATCTATCTATATGCCCAGAATTCTCATTTAGATCTATTCTTAGTGGCATGGCTAGATGTGGAGAATGCAGTTGGAGAGTTGGGGTGTTTAGCAGAAAATCCCTGGATATAGAGTCAAAGAATCTGGGTTTCAAGCCTGCTCTTCCCACTTACCACCTGAGTGACCTTGGGCAAGTCATTTAAGCTCTTTGGGCCTCAGTCTACTTATCTGTAAATTGAAATGATTGGATTAGATGGCCTCTTTTAGCCCTAAAACCTATGTTCCCTATAAGCCCCTAGTAACATGTTTCCATCAAACACTACCTCCTTCCACTGACTTACTCAAAGAATGATAGAGGATAGAGGAGGGAAGGAAAAGGGAAGTGTCTGTCCCCCTTTTTGTTTTAAAGAAAAATCAATTTTATTTTTATTTCTCATTGATTTTCCTGTCACCTCACCTCACCTACCTCTTTACTCATTAAGAAACCAAGAAAAATAAAACCCATTACAAATATGTATAGTCAAGAAAAACACATTCCTGCATTAAACATGTAAAAAAAACCCAATATGCTTCAATATGTACCATGAATCCATTACCTATGTATTTGGGGGTGGACCATACTTTGTTACATGTCCTCTGGAGCTGAGGGTGGTCATTGTGTTGACTAAAGTTCTTAAACATTTCACAGTCAATTGTCTTTACAATATTGTTGTTTTAGTATAAGTGGTTCTTGTTCTGCTCACTTCATTTTGCATCAGTTCATACAAGTCTTTCCAGGTTTCTTTGAAACTAATCATCTTATTTTTTTTAATATCACGTATATAACACATAACTTGTTGAGTCATTCTTCAATTGATGGAAACCTCTTCAATTTCAATTTATTACTACAAAAAAGAGCTACAATAAATATTTTTACAGATAAGGGTCATTTTCTTTCTTTCTTTTCTTTTTTTTTTTTTTGCTGACCTCTTTGGAGCATAGCTAGTAGCAGTATTCCTGTGTCACAGAGTACGCAAAGTTTAATGGTTTTTGGAACATAGTTCCAAATTTCTTTCCAGAATGATTGCACCAGTTCATAGCTCCACTAATAGTACATTAATATATCTTTCTTTCCATAGCCCCTCAGCATTTGTCATTTTCCAACTTTGCCAAACTGATGAGTATAAAGGGGTATCTCAGCATTGTCTTAATTTGGATTTCTCTAATTATTGGAGATTTAGAACATTTTTTCATATGGCTATTGATAGCTTGAATTTCTTCCTCTCAAAACTACCTATTCATAGGGCAAGTCATTTAAGCTCTTTGGGCCTCAGTCTACTTATCTGTAAATTGAAATGATTGGATACAGCACCAGCCATGGATTCAGGAAGACCTGAGTTCAAATCCAGCCTCAGACACATAACACTCACTAGCTGTGTGACTCTGGGCAAGTCACTCATCCCCAATTGCCTCACCAAAAAACAAACAAACAAAACCCAACAAAGTGCCTATTCGTATCTTTTGGCCATTGATCAACCAGGAAATGGATCTTACTTTTAAAAATTTGACTCAATTCCCTATATATCTCACAAATGAGACCTTTATCAGAGAAACTTGCTGCAGAGACTTTCCCTCAACTTCCTGCTTGTTTTCAAATTCTATCTGCATTGGTTTATGCAAAACCTTTTTCATTTTATATAATTGAGATTGTCCATTTTACCTCCTGTGAACCTCTCTACTCTTGCTTAGTCATGAATTCTTCCCCTGTCCATATATTTGACAGGTAATTTCTTCCATGCTCCTCTGATTTGTTTATGATATTACCCTTTATGTCAAAATCATGTAACCATTTGCAGCTCTTCTTAATACATGGTGTGAGATGTTGGTCTATACCAAGTTTCTGCCAGGCTGCTTTCCAATTTCCCCAACAACTTTTGTTGCATAGTGAGTTCTGAGTTCTTGCTGCATACTTGGAATATTTGAGTTTGCCAAATACTAGGCTATTTTGCTCATTGGCTATTGCATAGCTAATGTGTTCCACTGATTAACTTTTCTGCTTCTTACTCAGTACCAAATTGTTTTAATGATTGTGGCTTTGCAGTATAGTTTGAGACCTAATACTACCAGATCCCCTTCCTTCCCACTTTTCTCAATAATTTTCTTGATTTTAAACTTTTTTTCCTCCAGGTGAATTGTGTTACTATTTTTTCTAGTTCTTTAAAATAGTCCTATAGTAGTTTGGCATGGAACTGAGTAAGTAAATTAATTTAGGTGATAATGTCATTTTTATTATATTGGCTCTCCCTCCCCATAAGTAATTAATATTTCTCTATTTAGAGCTTTCTTTATTTGAATAAAGACATATTTGTAATTTGTATTTGTAATTATGTTTATATAGTTCCTATATGTGTCTTGGTATGTAGACTCCCAAGTATTTTATACTTCCTGCAGGTTTTTAAATAGAATTTCTCTTTCTATTTATTCCTGGTGGATTTTGTTAGTAATATACAGAAATACTGGTAATCTGTATGGACTTATTTTATATATTGCACATTTGCTGAAGCTGTTAGTTATTTCAGTTAGTTTTCTAATGTACTCTCTAGGGTTCTCTAAGTAAATCATCATATTATCTACACGAAGTGATAATTTTATTTCTTTTCTTATTCGTTTCATTTCTTTTATTTATCTTATTTCTATAGCATTTCTAGCAGTATATTGAATAGTAATGGTGATAATGGACATCTTTTCTGTATCCTTGATCTTAATGGAAAGGTCTCTAGCTTATTCCCATTACAGATAATGCTAGCTCTTGGTATTATATTTACATAGATACTACTTATCATTTTAAAGAAAGCTGTCTATTTCTATGTTTTCTAGAGTTTTTAATAGGAATGCCTGTTGTATCTTGCCAAAAGCTTTTTTCTGAATCTATTGATATAATCATGATTATTCTTGGGGTTTTTTTTATTAATATAGTCTATTTTTTTTATTGTTGTTGTGGTTCTCCATGACCCCACATGGAGTTTTCTTGGCAGAGATACTGGAATGCCATTTACTTCTCCAGCTCACTTTACCAATGAGAAACTGAGACAAACATGGTTAAGTGACTTGATCAGGCTCACAGGGTTAGCAAGCATCTGAGATCAGGTTTGAACTCACACAGGTGAATCTTCCTGACTCCAGGCCTGGTATTATATCTACTGTACCATCTGGCTGCCTCTGTTCTATTTATTATTGAATTTTGTTCATTATTGAATAATGAATATTGTTTAATATTGAACTATCCATATATCCATCCATATATATGTATATGTATATGTGTGTATATATACATATGTGTGTATATACATATATATACATATATACATATATATACATATATACATATATACATATATGTATATATACATATATATATCTTGGTCATAGTCTATAACTTTTATTGTAAAAATTTACATCAATGTTCATTAAGGACATTTGTATATAGTTTCCATCTCTGTTTTAGATCTCTCTTGTTTGGATATGGAGACCATATTTGTGTCATAAAAGGACTTTGGTAGGACCCCCTCTTTACTTATATTTTTTCAAAAGTTTATGTAGTATTGGGATTAATTGTTTTTTAAATATTTGATAAAATTTACTTAGAAATCAATCTGGTTATGTTTCCCTGCCCCTTTGGGAGTTCACTTATGGCTCATGCAATTACTCTTTCTAAGATGAGATTATTTAAATATTCTTTCCTATTCTGTTAATCTGGGCAATTTATGTTGTTGTAAATATTCTTCCATTTCATTTACACTATCAGTTTTATTGGCACATAGTTGGGTAAAATAGCTCCTAATAATTTCTTCCATTCCTTCTTCATTGGTTATTAATTTACTCTTTTTCATTTTTGATACTGGTTATTTAGTTTTCTTCTTTCTCTTTAAAAATCAAGTTAGCTATGGTTTCTCTATTTTATATTTTTCTTTTTAAAAATTAGATTCTATTTTCAAAAATCATATTTTCCCTCCCACTTCCTACCTTCTCCATTGAGAAAACAAGAAAAACAAGAATAAAGTTGCCAGTCAGTACCAGCTATACCTACTGCCAATAAAGAGTCCCCTGTAATCTCTTTCTGACCAGTTGTCTGACTCCCTTATCATCTCAGGGCTGAGAGCTCCCAAAGCAGCTGCTGCTACTTCTGCTGCTGTTGCCACTGTCCCACGTGTGGGCTCTGGTCAGGCCTCCATACCAGTGATACTGACTTCTCTTGCCTACTCCTAAGTTTTATTAAGAAATGTCTTACGTTGAACTTTTGTTGTCCCTGCTGCTTCAAAATTTGATTTGAAGTATTATTTTAAGATTGTTGGGAGAGATCAGCTGAGTGGCTACTCCTAATCCACCATCTTGTCTCTGCAATGTAGGTTTTTCTTCACTGGAGGTCTTCAAGAACTAGATGATTCTGTATTACAAATATACTAGACAAGATTCATGCTCAACTAAGGGTTGGATTCAATATCCTCTGAGGTCCTATGAGGGGCAGTACATAAAGTACTGGTCCTGGAGACAGGAATACTTGAGTTCAAATTTGGCTTCAGAAAATCATTAACTTGTATGACCCTGGTGAGTCATTTACCCTCTACATGCCTCCATTTCATCAACTGTAAAATAGGGTTAATAATAGCACCTACCTCCTGGAGTTTTTATAAGGACCAAATATTTGCAAAGCACTTAGTACAGTGCTTAACACATAGTGAATACTTACGAAATACTCGTTTCTTTCCTTTTTATGATTGGATAACCCCAATAACATCTATTAAGTGCTTATTGTGTGCAATGGGAGTTCGCAGAACTAACCCAAAGAAAGAAGCAGTCCCTATCCTCTAGGAGATTACAGTCTAATGCAGGGGAGGAGTGGAACAGGAAAAGGGAAAGAGCACAAATGATCAAGGGGGTCAGGATGGATTTCTCATGGAATCTTTGCACATGAATTGACCTTGAAGGAAAGGAGGGAGCCTAAGAGGCTGAAGTGAGAAGAGGAAGCACATTCCAATAATATTGGACAGCCTGTGTGAAGGCAGAGAAGGGAGGTGGAATGCCAAATTCAAGGGAATAGTATCCCATTGGTTCAACTTCTTTGGGAGCTCAAGTAGCAGGCTTTTAGAATACCGTGAATCAATCTCAAGTGTTAGACAAATGGCATGATAAAAAGAAAGCATAAAAAGAACCCTACCCCCCCCAAACAAAAGAGGAATTGTTCATTACTGTACTGACCTCTCAATGGAGGTTGAGGAATCTTCAATTCTATCTGCAGTTACTGGGCAGGACTACATCTAAGCCAGCCCCATCCCATCTCCTAGCCACCTGTTGTTTCTCATTTGTAGACAGACATACTGGCAGAAACATAAGCCATCATTCATATGGCCTTCCTCTTCCACTTCAGAGAGGGGAAAATGCTTATTAGCAACACAGCAGGCATAACTAGAAGAATAGCGGATTATTGCACTTCGGAACATCTCCTCAGCAGAAGGGTTTTCATCAGGAAAGGTATCCAGGAAAACTTTTTCACATTCTTTAAGTGAAATATATACAAAGGAGAGTTTGTTTATAGTTTCACAGCCAATCAGCACAGAGTGATTGGCCAGAATGAGGTTGGCTTCTCCTACTTTTAGGTTCAACTCTCGTAATTTCTCTTTTTTTGATCTTCTAGCCCAACACATCATATTTACTACCAAGGCCACTAAACTCATACTCAGAAACAGCATAGGGAAGGGTATCATGAAGAAAAGTGAAACCAACTTTGAGGAATCAGGTTGCGCAGCAAACCAACTTACTATAGCAAAGGCAGATAAAAATATGGTAAGGATTAAGAGGATAATGCACAATGTGATCCTGCAACTCAAATATCGGAAACAGCATTTGGAAGAAGAGACTCCATTCAGGATGTTAATGGCTCTTCCATAAACTTCTGGATCATCTATGACCATTTTCAGTGGATCAGGGATATTAGATGAGCTGAAGGTTCCCAATTTCCATGATGGAAGGTTGTCTTTATTGATACAGGGCAGGGTCATCAGGGTTTTCCCATTGTAGATTGAGGAGAGTTGGTATGGGACAAGTGTGGAATGCTTCATGAGATGGTTAGGTGTGCAGATGGCCTTGATGACCTTTTCATAGAAGGAGATGTCATTGGCATCCAGATATGTTAAATGGTTCAAATGAAGTGGAACCTGGCAGGGCTTTAGCATGATGGGGATGACAGGCTTTCTCTCCATACAGTAACGAAAGACAGAGAGATTGGCCTCCAACAAACACCATCTGCTCTGGACAAAGTCTTGGCTAAGGATTAACAGCATCTTTTGACTCTGCTGGATGCAATCAACCATGTTCTCAATTATGTTTTTCCCTGGAAGAAAGTCCCGCTCATGGTAGCAGATCTTCAGATCTGAGTAATCAGTCTCTAGTTTTGTAATGAATTTGTGGGCCCAAGAGGAGTCCAGGCTGCTGTAGCTCACAAAGAAATGGAATGCTTCATTGCCTGTCAGCCGGGGGATGGTAGGAGATGCATTTTTTTGTAGCTTTTCCTTGTCTGGTTTTTCAATCGAATCCATCTCTTTTGATCCTTCAAAGTGGAATCAGTTACCACAGAGAACATGTACCCTCATGGTTAATTTGTGAGGAAGGTTACCATGGACCTGAAAGAGACATCAAAGAGTCACCTAATACATACTCCTGTCTTCAATTCAGTTCAACAAGATCTTATTAAACACCTACTGAAGACCAGGTACTGTGTCCAATACTAGAGATACAAAGACTACCTTCCTCCCCACAAAAGGAATGGTTATCCCTGGAACCAAGGAACTGACATTCAACTAAGTCAATCCAGAAAGATATGTAACTATCACAGCCAAGCCAACAGGCATCTAGGAAATGACTACCTGGGAGCTCCCTGCACTGATGAGATCACTGATCCTGTTTGATTAACACTACTATGCTGATTCTAAGAGGCTGCCATTTAGGACACATTAGACTATTACCATAGGAGGAATCAGGCAATAGGGCAGGCTATAATTTCCTTTTCTAGATTGTCATATTAATGTTACCTAAAATTAACCTTTGTAGAAACTTCAGACTAGACAGAATTCTCCTTTTCATCTAGATAAACCACAAATGCTCAACCAAAGTACTGTGTACTAACACATTCAGATTCCAATCCAGGAAGTCTTCTAATTGCCCTTGTTGCGGAGAGGGGGTAAGTGCCAATCCAGAGTGGAATTCCAAAAACAGGAATCCAAAATGTCAGAACCGTCATGATCAATCAAACAACTGGCATTTATTATGCTTTTACTATGTGAAAATTCACCTCCAGACTTTCAGGAGCCAAGATGGTGGAGTAAAAAGTAAGTCTCTCTCATCCTCCTTTATTGACCTCTAAAAGTTCAGAAAACATTGCCCCAGGAAAAACCCTAGAATAGCTGAGCCAGAAGAAAGATGGGGTGCAGCCATCTCATATCCCAGGAAACTTGGGGGATTAATGGTAAAGTCCCTTCTCACTCTGGGGGAAGGGGAGCAGTATAGGACAGGAGGTGTCCCAGCAAGCCCGCAGCAAACCCCTCCTCAGCAAACCAGGGGGAGATCCTGAGCCAACAGGGTGGTGGAGCATACAAGTGCCAACACCAGGACCCCCAAGTGACTCATCAGGGGCAGGGAGACCAGTAGACACCAGCTCAGAAAATGACTACATGTACGAATGTTCTCCAGTGACAAAATCTCCTGGTGCTTCAGCACAACTCCAGGAAGCACAACTCCAGGAGGCACAGCTCTAGGCTAGCAGACATCCTCCAGCTACCAAACATTCAAGTGCTTTAAAGAAGCCCAGGTGAGCAGAAGTCCTCCAGGAGCCAGACTCCCCCCCCACCTTGAGAACTCCAGTGTTGCTGACCCCAGCTCAGCGTCAGGTAAGCTGCCAGATGCCTACAGCCTCCAGCTGCCAGCATTTAAGGTCCCAGCATACAAAGCCAGCGACCAGGTTCCAGGTTCCCTGCACAAGAAGCTTGGGTCAGTGTCCCCTATGCTCCAGCAGGAAAGCTCAATTTTAAAAGCCAGGAAATAGGCAAACACCATGAGCAAAAAGCAGAAACAGACAACGACCATAGATTCTTATTATGTGAACAGGGAAGACCAAGGCACTAATTCAGAAGTGGACAAGATTGTCAATATACCCACATCCAAAACCTCAAAGGGGAATATGAACTGGTCTCAAGCCCAAAAAGCCTTCTTGGAAGAGTTCAAGAAGAATTTTAAAAGTCAAGTTAGAGAAGTAGAAGAAAAATTGAGAAAAGAAATGAGAGGTATGCGAGAGAGAGTCAATAGCTTGGAAAAGGAAATTGACTGTAGAAAATAAGTCCTTAAAAATACAATTGGCTAAATTGAAAAAAAAAAAGTACACTGAAGAAATCAACTCCTTAAAAAGTAGAATTGGCAAGATGGAAAAGGAGGCGGAAAAACTCACTGAAGAGAAGAACTCCTTAAAAAGTAAAATGCGACAAATGGAAAAGGAGGTACTAAATCTAATAGAAAAAAACAATTCATTAAAAATTATAATTGGGCAAGCAGAAACTAATAATTCTATGAGATGTCAAGAATCAGTCAAACAGAAACAAAAGAATGAAAAAAATAGAAGAAAATGTAAAATGCCTCATTGGTAAAAACAACTGACCTGGAAAATAGACCCAGAAGAGACAATTTAAAAAATTATTGGTCTACCTGAAAACCATGATGGAAAAAAAGACCCTGGACAGCATCTTTCAGGAAATCATCAAAGGAAACTGCCCTGAGGTCCTAGAACCAGAAAGCAAAATAGCCATTGAAAGAATCCACTGATCACCTCCTGAAAGAGATCCCAAATTGAAAACACCAAGGAATATTGTAGCCAAATTCCAAAATTACCAAGTCAAAAAGAAAATACCACAAATAGCCAGGAAGAAATAATTTAAATACCATGGAACCATGTTTTATGGGAGAATTCATCTCATTCACATTCACAGTTTTGATTACTATTTGTGTCTTTCTCCATCCTATTTCCCCCCACCCCCCATTTATGCTTTGCTCTCTCCTTTCTCCCTTTCCCTCCTCACTAGAGTTTTGCAGGATTATGCAGGACCTTGCAGCTTCTACATTAAAAGATCAGAGGGTGTGGAATATGATATTTCATAAAACAAAGGAGCTTGGATTACAACCAAGGATCAACTACCCAATGGAATTGAGCATAATCTTTTAGGGAAGGAGATGGACATTCAAAGGAGAGGGAAGGGAGTCCAAACTTTCCTGATGAAAAAACCAGAGCTCAACAGAAAATTTGATCTTTAAAAACAAGATTCAAGAGAAGTATAAAAAGGTAAACAGGAAAGAAAAAAAACCAATGTTATTAATAAGGGCAAACTGTTTACATCCTTACTAGGAAAGATGACACTTGTAACTCTTGAGAACTGTGTCATTATTAAAACATTTTTTTAAAGTATACATAGATAGAGGGCAGGGATATAAGTTGACTTTGATGTGGTGATATAAAAAATCTAACTAAGTGGTGAAAAGGGATTGTTCTAGATGAAGAGGAAAGGAGGAGGCAGACAAGAGAAAATTCTATCACTTGAAAAGGAACAAAAACCTACTACAGTAGAGGGAAAGAGGAGAGGGAGATGAGCATTGTTTGAACCTTACTCTCATCAGATTTGGCTCAAAGAGGGAATTGTTATCAGTTAGGTATAGAAATCTAACTTACCCTATAAGAAGTAGGATGGGAAAGAGGAAAGAAAAGGGATAGAAGGGAGGTGAAAAGTATAAGGGTAAAGGGGAAGAAAAAAGAAGGGGCTGATTGAAGGGAGAGTAGACTGAGAGAGGTGGTGGTAGAAAGCAAAACTCTAGTGAGGAGGGAAAGGAGAGAAGGAGAGAGAAAAGCATAAATGGGGGGTGGGGGAAATAGGATGGAGAACGACACAAATAGTAATCATAACTGTGAATGCGAATGAGATGAATTCTCCCATAAAACAGAAGTGGATAGTAGAGTGGATTGAGAACAATAATCCTAAAATATGTTATTTAAAAAACTGGAAAGACTTATACTAACTGATGTTGAGTGAAACGAGGAGAACTAGGAGAACATCGTACCCCATAACAGCCACATTGTGCGATGACTGACTTTGATAGACTTAGCTCTTCTCAGCAATGCAAGGATCTTAGCTCCAAAAGACTCATGATGGAAAATGCAATCCACATCCAGAGAAAGAACTTTGGAGTCTGAATGCAGATGGAAGCATACTATTTGCTCTCCTTTTCTTTTGTTGTTTTGTTTTGTTTCTTCTTTCTCATGGTTCCTCCCATTAGTTCTAATTCTTCTTTACATCATGACTAATGTGAAAATATGTTTAATATGAATGTATAAGTAGAGCCTATATCAGATTGGATGCCATCTTGGGGAGGGGAGAGGAGAGGAAGGGGGAGAAAATTTAAAACTCAGAATCTTATGTAAGAGAATGTTGAAAACTAAAAATAAAGTAATTAGTTATTTAAAAAAAAAGAAAATGCAGCTCCAACAGCATGATCATTTCCTAAGGATAATCCTTTAGAGTTTCATTTCCAGGAATCATTCTTCCCCTAATGGGAAATAGCTTTTGAAATAAATTAGTCTAGAGGATGGATTGTTTACAAGAGGAAAAAATGTGCAATTTCTCCCAAAGTTAATTTATGTCCTATGAAAAAAATTTGGACTATGATGTGAATGTTCCCTCCAATGATATAGAATGCAATGCCATCACATTTGTCCATCCTATACAACTTGTCCAAGATGGAAGAGAGCATTAATTATGTCACTGTATCTTAATTCTCTCGTGCAGTTGTCCAGAATTTGACCTGATTGTAGCCTGAGGATACTGCTGTATTAGACAGCATTTGCTCCTATTTCATAGCATGTGTGCAAACACATAGTCATGATATGAGAAGGAACCAGTCCCTGGAGAGTGCAAGGGAACCAGGAATCACAGGTAGAAATATGATATAGGTTGGCACTCTCTGCCTCCATTATTTGTACTCCTTTTGAAGCAAGTATAGCCAAGCTTGTTTGGAGATTTCTTCAGTTATTTGTATAGTCCCAAAAGACAGAGAGAGAGGCAGCATAGTGTCATGAAATGGGCCGTGGACTTAGAGCCTGGATTCAAACCCAGGTCTTCCTATGTGACCATAAATAAGTTATTTAACCTCTCTGAGCTTCAATTATCTTAATCTGCAAAAGGGGGACAATAATACTTGTGTATTTGCACTTAGGAAGACTTAGGCTCAGCTCCAGCATGTGATCCTGGCAATTCACTTAATCTTTCTGAACCTCAGTTTTATCATCTATAAAATGGAGATAATGACTTCTATAGTACCTACCTCACAAACTTGTTGTGAGGCTGAAATGAACATTAATGGATAAAATGCTCTTCAGACATGTAAAAGTGCTATTTAAATGCCAGTTATTTTAGCATTGGTATTACTTTCTAAGGTTGTAGTGAGAAATGCTCTCAGATAGCTACAAAGTGTTTAATAAATGTGAACTCTCATTCTGATTATTACAGGGGAAGGCAGGGAAAGAATGAGGAAAGACACATTCTCAAAGCAATGGCTACAAGTGTATCCCAAAATAGGATCACAGATTTAGAGATGAGTTTCAGAGGCCATCAAGCCTAACCCTTATTTTTCCTCATCTCTAGATGAGAAACCAAAAACAAAGTGGAGGTAAAGTGTCTTGCCCAAGATCCCTCAGGTAGTAAGTGGGAGAGTTAGAATTCAAACTCTGGGCTGGTAGTACCATGTCCAGTACTCTTAAGTTCAGCCCTTTTTCCACCATGCCTCAATGCCACAGGTCCCCTGACTCCAAATCCATTTTTTCTGTTTGCTGTACCATGCTTTCTCCTACATTCCTTAAATCTGTCCATCAGAAAACATTTATCAAGTACCTACTGCGTGAGAGTCACTATACTAGGCATTGAGGACAAAGGGAAAAAGAAAGTTTGTCTCAGTATAACCAAAGGTTTGGATACAGTGAAAGGAGATGGGTAGAGGTAACTTGACATGGAATCAGGATTAACAACTGTTATACAAAGCTCCAAAAAGCTCAATAGAAAAATTAAATGTCTCAATAATTTCACAGTATGTTATAATTTTCCTTGTTCTAGTGCCGTACTCTGGTATCGTTTGCCCCATCTGGATTCTGCAGAAGAATTAGAAAGAATGCTGCAATTTAACATTAAAGCCAGTTGGGAAGAAATGTCATCCCCTTCTGCTGCTGTCCCTGCATTTCCTGAAACGTGACACATCACTGTGCATGAGGAATTCATTGGGGGTGGGGCTCTTGAAATAACAATAAAATCAACTGAGAGGGATGACACAACCCTATTTAGTTTCTGAAAGCCTGTGTGTGTATGTGTGTGTATGTGTGTGTGTGTCTGTCTGTCTCTTCATCTCTCTCTCTCTCTCTCTCTCTCTCTCTCTCTCTCACACACACACACACACACACACACACACACACACACACACACAAACACACACACAGAGTACTTTTGAAAGACAGTAGCTTGGCATTTTGAAAAAGGGCTAACTCTGGAGTCATCTACTAGATGTGTGATCTTTGAAGTCATTTAATCTCTCACAGCCTCAGTTTCCTTATCTTGAAAATGGGGTTAATGATACTTTTACTTGAGGCAGTATGTCATAATGAATAGAGGGCTAGTTTTGAAGTAAAAAAGCCTGGGGGCCATAATCCTGCTTCGAGGAGACTAGGTGACCCTGGAAAAATCACTTAGCCTCATCATTGGCCCAAGCAACTAAGACAGGAGTTCTTGATCTTAGCTCCATGGATTTTTAAAAAAAAATTTCTATTACTGTGTTTCAACAGAATTGGTTTCTTTTGTAACATAATATATTTTGGTTTACATATTTAAAAACATTGTTCTGAGAAAGGACCTACAAACTGTACCATACTGCCAAATGGATACATAGAGCAAAATCTGCTTAAGGACCTCTGCTCTAAGACTTTAACTTACTGATGAGCTGTCAATCTATATCAGAAAAGGGAGTTTCTACAGTGGGAATTCCCCACACTGAGTGAACAATAGATCTGCAAACACCTTCATTAATAGCAAAAAAAAAAAAACTTGCCCTACCTATGTCATGAGGTTGTGAGACTCAAAAGAAATCAATGCACGTAAAAATACATTATTTTATAATAATGATATGTAAACTCGAGATATTATCATCTTCTCCTTAGAAACTGCCCAGACCAACCCAAAGGGTGTTTCTCTAGGTTATGACATAAGCCATGGTAGCCCTGTGTCTTTAATGCAGGCCAGGAAAATTCCCATAATGCCAGGCATAAGATAGAGGTGTAGAAAGCAGTGGGCCCTGGCTTTCCCATTCTTCTACAAGCACCTAAGCTGTGGTCAGCATGGGTTATCTGGCAAATATCTAGCAGATTAGCCTCCTGGAACTCAGATGTTTATCTTCAATGGTCTAACTCCTGGAAGATAGAGGCCATGTTTTATAGTAGGTACTCAGTGAATCTTAAATTGAATTATTTTGACCAACAGAGTCAGAGACTGGGCCCTAGCACTTAGAGCCAGAAGGGATCTTCAAAATGATGGTCACAGGATGCAGTGTGAGGGGGAGCACCTCCTTGCAGAGCCCAGGACAAGCCAGAGACAACTAGGGCCAGTCCTTCACAGAAACCACGATCTTAAGAATTCATGCTTTTATGGAGACTAAAGTTTGCAGAGCACTTTCCTCCAGCTACTGCAACATAGGTCAGCCAAGTGTTATCATACCCACTTTATAGGGAAGTAAGTTGAGGCTCAGAAGTGACATAGCTAGGAAAACCTGAAATCAGAATTTGATGCCAGATCCCATCTTTCCAAGACATGAGAGTGGATAAAGCTATTGGTGAGGAGAACAAGAGCCCAAAAATACTGCTTTCTGGCACAGAGAGAAAGAAGCTCTTCTCCCAAGCTCTCTGTCCATTTAGGCTAGTTCATAGGATCATAGAATCATGAACTGAGAGATGGAAAAGACCTTGGGGGTTACCCTAGTCCAACTCCCATAATTTACAGGTGAGTCAAACTGAGGCTCAGAGCCATGAAGTGACTTCTCCAAGATCTCAGAGTTAGTAAAGAGCAGAACCAGAATTTGAATCTAGGTTCTCTGAATCCAAATCCAGAACACTTTCCACTATTCCACCCCCTCAGGGTCCAGAGAAGAGACAGCCCCCAAATCCTCAAAATATTGTATCTGTCAATGTCATTTCTATTTCATTTCCCACAGAGGAAAGATCTAAACAGGTACACTTCAAAGGATGTGATATGGGCTAAGAAGACATCCCAAACCACCCTTAACAGAGTGCCAGGGATAAAGGTCACTCCAAGCAGCACAGTAGTAAGAGAAGCACCAGAGTCAGAGTCTGCAAACCTGGATTCAAATCCCAGCTCTGTAACAAACTACCCATGTGACCTTCAACAAATCACTTACCCTCAGTTTCCTTATATGTAAAATGAGAGAGGTTGGACTTGATGAGCTCTAAGGTCCCTTTCAGTTCTAAATTTATAATGTTGCAAACCTCTAAAATAAGTGTTTTTAATCTGAGGTCCCTGAATGGATTTATTTTGGGGGGGAGGGGTATCTGTGAATTTGGATGGGAAAAATTACATTTTTATTTTCATTTATCTCTGAATGAAATTTAGCAATTTTTTTCATTATAAATTTAAAGAAAAAATTATTCTGGGGAGTCCATAGATTTCATTAGAGTGCCAAAGGGGGTCACAACATAAAAAAAGGTGAAGAAGCTGTTCTCCAAAGTCACTCCCAGTCCTAAAATCCTTGAAATCCTGGGCCACATAGCTTTCCTTACCTGAAATATCATACAGCTCCAAGGTTCCACACCCCTAGGCCATAGCCCCTCATTCCCTTGAAATATTTGCTGCCATGAGCAGACCTGTCATTCACAGGGTCGAGGTCCCCAAGAAAATATCCCAACAGTTTTCTAATCTGTAAGAATGAGAATCATCAGAATAACAGCAAATAACGTATTGATACAATGATGCCTTTGGATTTGCAAAATGCTTTCCTCCTAATAGCTTCCCTAGAACAAAACATTATCTAATTATCTAGTTCAGCCCTTTTCACTTTCTCCCTAACACTTGATCTTTCTATGATAGTCTGTAGATGTATGATGAGACCCTATCACTGAATCCAAGATTAGAGCCCAGATCCACTCAGGGGCAACCTGGCTTTGAGTCCCCCAAAGCAGGGTTGACCATTAGCCAAACTATGATGTAGCTTCCTATCTCGCCTGCCAGACTCTCCAGCTTTTTAACTCTACCTTACAGGGAAAGCATCAAATCCCCTATATACTGGGATTACTCCAGTTTTTCCGGGTCAGGAAGAGAAGATTGTCTGCCTAGGACTTTAATTCCCAGGAGCCACATTTAGGCTCTAGATGCTACTGTCCCTGCCCGCAAAGGGGTCTTCCTTCTTCAAAAGCCTGGTTACGTTCAATACTCTGAAAAGCAGCCAAGATGGCAAGAATAGGGCAGCAAACACTTCCCTGGCTGAGCTGGTCCCCCCCTACTATCCCCTGCACCTGCTGGAGGAAGGTGGAGATGGTCATTTTCTCAAGATGTCTTCATGGCCTCACCAAGCTGCATGAACCCCAACTTCAATGAGAAAAGGTCACTATTTCCCTATCTGCTAAGCCAATGATGTTCCCACTGATCTAAGTTTCTGGAGCAAAATCACAAGTTTTCTTTGTAATGTTTGCACAACTGAAATCAGATCTGTGGCTCGGAGAAGCTTAGTATAGCAGAAGGAAATGCTTGGAGAGAGGAAGAGATAGCCTGTGCTCAGACTTGGGGAAAACCAAACTTGTTTGTTTGCTCTGAGTAGCAACAGTGATTGATGGAAGGAGGAGGAGGGGAATAATCTGGCCTGCTTTCAAGGAGGAGAGGGTTAAACACAGGCTTCCCTTTGGTTCATGATGCTTCTTTCCCATGTAGCTCAAGGATCCAGAGGAAAACAAGCTGTCCCTTTCCCTCTGAACTCTATCCACCCCTGCCCAGAACACACAGCTGCTCCTATCTCAGCCTGGGCTGCCTTGACAAATCACTCCTGATTTGGGCTTGACAGGCCTCCTGCCTGTAGTACTTTAAACGCAGCTGGCTGGCCGCCAAAGCCCCAGTGGTGTAAATGGGAACCAGTGTCCAGCAGGCCCCAGCCTGGCTTCCTTTAACTTGGAGGGGTTGGCTCCATGCCGTCTGCTATCAGGCTGCCCTATATGAAAGCCATATGGACAGCAAAGGGCACGGTCAGTGGCTGTCAGCAGCCATGACTGCTGTTGGCTTTCTCTGCCACCACGGAGGGGGCAGCATCTACTCTGCAAGGAGTGCCCCAGGCTGGCCCAGCTTTGCTCTTAGGGCAGTGATGCCTGGGGAAGAGAAGAATATAAGACATAGTAGCTGTCCTCAGGTATTTAAAAACTCTCCTCTGGAACAGGGACTGGACCTTTTCTGCTTAACTCTAGAAGGAAGAACTTAGTAGAAGTAGTAAGAAAGACAGAATTAGATTCAATGTAAGGAAAATTTCCTGGCGGACTTATCCCATAATAAAGGTGGTAGCAAAGTCTACCTCTAGAGGTCTTCAGCAAAAGGTGGGGGGGCCATTTGTTGGGGACATCATAAGAGCATCTGTCTAGATATCCCTTTGAGAATCCTTCCAACTTAGACATTTTGTGTCTCTTCCTTCATCTTCCAAAAGAAAAGGCAAGTGGTTCTTCCCTGCTGAACACACCAGGAAGGAAGATGGAGAGTCAATGCTCACTCTCAGCCAAAAGGCAGGGTGGTTAACAAGCATTTGTGAGAGTGTGAACCTGGTGAGGCAGCTGAACCCCACTCTGGAGATAGGAGGAAAAATCATATTTGGGGGATGTGGATTTCCTGAAGGATAGGCACTCCTGTCCCTCGAGAGGAACAGCCAAAAGGCAACATGGGATTGGCTTCAAATGAAGAATCTGAGAGCCTGGATTTGAATCTGAGCTCTGATACTCTGTAACCTTCCTAAGGTTACTTACCCTCCCTTGGCCTCCATGTTCTTATTTGGGGATGAGAGACAGAGAGGAAGAAGAAGAAGAAGAAGAAGAAGAAGAAGAAGAAGAAGAAGAAGAAGAAGAAGAAGAAGAAGAAGAAGAAGAAGAAGAAGAAGAAGAAGAAGAAGAAGAAAAGAAGAAAGAAGAAGAAGAAGAAGAGAGAAGAGAAGAAGAAGGAGGAGGAGGAGGAGGAAGGGGAGGGGAGGGGAGGGGAGGGGAGGGAGGGAGGGGAGGGAGGGAGGGGAGGGGGAGGGGGGAGGGGAGGGAGGGGGGAGGGGAGGGAGGGGAGGGGGGAGGGAGGGGAGAGGGGGAGGGAGAGGACAGGGAGGAGAAAGAGGAGGGGAAGAAGAAGGAGGAGGAGGAGGAGGAGGAGGAGAAGAAGACAAAGAAAGAAGGAAGAGGAGGAGGAGGAGAATGAGTGAGAGAAGAAAACAGAGAGCACATGTATTAAGCACTTGCTATGTATTAGGCACTATACTAAGCTTTAGGGAAACAAATACAGTTAAGCAAGGCAGTCTACCCTCAAATAGCTTACATTTTAACGGGAAAAGACAACACTTAAAGGTGAGCAGGGAATTCAAGACTAGGGAGAGAGGGCAATATGTTAGGAGAGAAGAAGGAAGAGTCTGGGGAGAGAGAGTGCAGGTGTGAGTGGAGTGGCTCTGGGGAGAGGGTCACTAATCAGAACATGACGGCATCTGAGTAGAGGGTTTTCCAAGGTGGAAATTCAGCCGGCAAAGAGGAAGAGGAGTCCAAGGGTAAGTGAGGTAAAATGAGGGGATTAGCCTAAGTGGCCCATATGATGCCTCCCAGTTCTATATTCTCTCATGCTGTGATTCTGTCATCCACTTTCCTAATGTGCAGGTTGCAGCCTGAAAATCCTAGGAACCCGAGTATTCAGTGTACATTTATTAAACAGTAACTGACCAAGAATCTACTCTTAATATTCTGGACAAAGGGTCACCCACCCATTGTATGAAGATCTCCTGAGGGGTAGAACTGAGTATCAAGACAGCTTATTCCTCTTTGAGACAGCCTCAATCATTAGGAAGATTTTCCTTCTACTAAGATGAAGTCTTCCTCTCCACCCCCTCCACCTATTCTTCTGATGTATACCCTCTGGAGACAAGCAGAACAAGGCTAATATCTTCTACAAATCAGACTTTCAAACACTTGAAGATATTTATTATGCCATGGCCCCATCCTCTCCTGACTGACTGAGTGACTGATCAAATTTTCTCCCAGACTAAGTGATAAATGATAAATTTCTCAAAGTCAAGGTAGATGAGCATAGTATGGCATATTACATATCAGTACTAGGTGCACAGTTCAGTCCTTTTTTCAGTCAAATCCAATTCTTCCTGACTCCCTTTGGGGTTTTCTGGCACAGATACTAGAGCAGTTTGGTATTTCCTTCTCCATTTCATTTTACAGATGAGGAAATGGAGGCAAAGAGGGTTAAGTGACTTGCCCAGGGTCACATAGCTAATAAGAGTCTGAGGCCAGATGAGCCTTCCTGACTCCAAAACCCATATTCTATCCGCTGAGCCACCTAGTTCAAATCCTTGTTGAAAGACTGTTACATGAGTTACATCTAATACAGTGGACCACTGATTTAGAGTCAAATTGCAGATTTAGAGTTGGAAGGCATCTCAGAGTTGAGCACATCTGTGGTCAACCTCTTTTATTTAATAGATAAGGAAACTGAGGCTCAGGTGGCAAAGTGACTTTTCCATGGTCACACAGGTAGTAACCATAACGTACACGATGTGAACCAAGTCCTCTGAATCTAGAACCATCATTCTTTCCAATGTGCCACATTTCAATGCACCTCCAATGGAAATGGTCATGGTCTCTGGAGAGTGCTAATTATCCATTGGAAATTAGCTGATGCTTAAAGTCGCATGATTTTAACAAGGTGAGAATCATATACTACTATAATGGGCCTTGGAGGGACCGTTGGGTTCCCCCTACTTTCCTAATCTGATCTTGAGGCAGTGTTACATAGCAGATAGAGCTCTGGTCTTGGTCTCAAATCCCACCTTTGACACTAACTGGACAAGCCACTGAATCTCTCTGAGGTTCATCTATAAAATGGAAATAATAATATCGGTAATAGCAACCTCACAGGGTTGTTATGAGGCTTCAATTAGATAACAGACTCAAATAATTTTGAAAACTTTATAGCACTACAGACACAACTATCATTCTTATCATCTCTGACATGGTTCCTATCTATAGAGACTTCATCAAGGGTGAAGGGTAGTTTGAGACAAATGCCCCTACTTCCCCTTTCCCTAGGTAACAGTACTATGGAGCCTTTTCCTGTCACATTGGTACAACTGCCAATTTTTTAATGCTTTATTAATGGTCATTTTTTTACACTGTAGCATCTCAGTGACTGCCTTTTCTCAACAATAGAACCCTCTCTTGTAACAAAGAAGCATGATAATTAAAGTGCTGGACTTGGAGTCATGGAGATGTAGGTTCAAACCCCTCTTTAGACACTTATCTACATGTGATCATGAACAGAGTATTTAACTTCTCTGATCTCTAGTTTCCTCATCGGCAAAACAGGTAGTTCAGACTAGATGGTTTCTAGAGCTACTTGAAGCTTTGAATATATGATTCTTAATAACAGTGCCTTCCATGTATTAATCACCTCCAATTTATCACCTAGATATATATATATATATATATAGAGAGAGAGAGAGAGAGAGAGAGAGAGAGAGAGAGAGAGTTACATAAGAGATATATAGACACAGATATAGAAATAGATAGTTTGTCCATTTTTGTTTACACATTGTCTCCTCCATTAGATTGTAAGCTCCTTGAGGGCAGGGACTATCTTTTGCCTTTCTTTGTATCCCCAGTGCTTAGCACAGTGCCTGGCATGCAGCAGGTGCTTAATAAATGCTTGCTGACTCTTGACACATTGGCTGATCCTATGAACTCATTGGCCATGTCTAACAGCACATGCATCATTCTGCACCTATAGTCCACCACCTTGTTTCCTGGCACTAATTGTTTAGAGGTTTAGGGGAAGTTGCAGGAGCTTATCACAGGGGTAATGTCAGAGCAGCATTGGCCTAAATATAGCACCGTAACCACTCCATGATCAGGACTGACCCTTTTACCACCTGTGTGATCTGCATAAAATCATGTAGCCTGTTATAGATGATTAATTGGACCCCTATTTTATTCCAATCAGAATTAATCAGTTAGATATGCTTCCATAGGGGTAGCAATTATAAGTTCTATATATTAGACCCTAGAGCTGAACTACAGATGATAAGTTCATTTGCTTAATCATAAATAGCTAACTAGAGGACTTTCACCCTTCTTTTTGCTTTATTATGATGACCAAGCCCAGAGTGGCAAAGGTGACTCAATTACACAGAAAGCCCACCAGCTATTTTTGCTACCCCTCCATCCCTCATTATCACTCTACTGCCCAACATGAAGAGATGACTGTGAGCTCTTGACCAACAAGTGGCCCTGTTTGCCAGCCTGTGGCCTGCATGTCTCTTGGTCCATCAGCCCATGTAGATGTTTTGACAGCCCAGCCCATAGGTGGGGAATATGCAGCCTTAAGGCCACATGTAACCCTCTAGGTCCTCAAGTGTGGCCCTTTGAATAATCCAAACTTCAGAGAACAATGCCCCTTAATAAAAGGATTTGTTCTGTAAAACTTGACTCAGTCAAAAGGCCACACCCAAAGACCTGAAAGGCCACATGTGGCCTCAAATCCACAGGTTCCCATCCCTAGCCCAGCCCATAGCTCATCAACTTGGTAGGACCTCCTGAAAGGTCAAGATAGGTCTCTCAGGGTCTGTTCATTAGCCTGTTTGTCAGCCATTGGGATTCTGTATTCTGTGCAGACCCTCCTGGAGAGACAAGTGCAAGGTCTATCAACCAATGAGATTCTGTATTTTTCATTTACTTCATCTGTATTGTCTAGGTATCAAACACTATAAAACTAAGGACGTGGAGAAAGGGAGCATTTCAGATCATGAGGCAAATCTGAGGTCCACTTCATTAGAAGGGAACATGGAGCCTTTAATAAAGTGCTATTGGCTCAGAGCTGTGCCTCAATATCTTTTATTGTATGTCTGCTGCCCCTTAAAGGGCCCATTTGTGTAAGTGTCTGGTTTTGTCTGTGCTATGCTCTCTGTGTTTTGTGCTAACGTCTAGCCAATAGGTGTTTTACCTATGCCTTTTCTCTTGGTGCGATCAACCAAGGGAGCAGGCTGTAAAAGTAAATTGTCAAAAAGAAGACAAATCTTTTTTTTCTCTGTTCCCAACACTAGCCATGTTGTAGATTGCTGACATGAAAGACAGATACAAAAATTAATTTGAAACAAAGATGCAAAAACTGATTGGAAATCAAATTTGTTTTTTTTCCAAGGAATAATTAACTTCTTTCATTTCTAAAGTTATAATTTGGATGTTTTATGAGATATTTTGAAGAACCTTTGGTATAACAGCAAAAGTCTGGTGAAGCAAAAAAATTCATGGATCAATTACATCAGTCAAAAGTTTTGTTGTTTAATTTATTCATTAGAACCATATGATGCCCACAATTACATTCCAACAGTTGTAGTCTCACCATCATTTTTCAATTTTGAAAATTTTGAAAATGGGGGTTAATTCTGAAAAATTAAAGCATAGCCTGAATGATAACAGTGGGCCTTAAAATCTGAAATCTTGGCAGTTAATGGCCCTTGTGAAAGTTGAGATTTTAAAATCCTTACCATTAGTAATTTTGACCATTTTTCATGTAAGTGAACTCAAAGTTAAATTAGTGAAGTAAGGATTTCTGTTAATTTGAACCATAAGGCAATTAGACAGCAATAATAACTTCCTGTTGTGAGAAGACAGCAGAGACCCTTTACGGTACCAATATCTGTGACGCTCCTGTGCCAATAGTTGGTCATGGCCAAGTGAACTCCTTTCTGAAATAGCTGGATGAATGTTTTTCCAGCATTAAGGAGGAGATAGGTGACTTCTTCTCTAAGGTTATCAATGAGGAACTTTGCATTTACACTCAGTAAGTTGAACTTGGATGTATTTTACCATGATTTACACAAACTATAGGCTTTGAAGATATTGGAATGAACTATGCATTTATAAGCCTTTAAGAACCTCCCCCCCCCAAAAAAAGGTGACAGTATTACAACTAATTGGTTTTGTGTAATAAAAATGAGGATAAGTGTAAAGTGAAATTCAGTGGAATACAGATCAAGTCCGTATGATTGGGAAGCAGAGACTATTGAATTGAGTAAGTAGAAGAAAGTAAGAGAAGTGTTGGCTAAGGAAACAAGAAAAGTCCACTTTTGGAAGCCTTTGCTCAAGAAGGAATATGAAATGAATGAAAAGATGTTAGTGCAAGTAGGGCTGGGAGAAGAATGGGTAGAATGTTCAAGGAAAGCTGGAGTCTTTGCATTGACATACCATGAATTCAAGGTTTGAAAGTAAATTTACAGATTTCTAAAAAGAGATTTGAGGAAGAATTTTTAATCCCACTGAAATAGAAAAGATTTGGGGATCTTTAAAGCAATGCCCCCTTGACAGTTGCTACATGTCTCCCTTCCCCAATTAATATATCACAAAATAACAAATGAACAAAATTAGCTGATTAATACAGAAAGGATTATTTCTGTGCTCCAGTTTAAATAGTTAGCATGTTTTACGACCTGTAAAAAGCCTGGCATGTGATAAGCACTATATGAACTATTATTCTGTGAAAATACCAAGGGTTATAAGATAAATGACTTTCTATGAATTGATGAATTTGAAATGCATTTGACTAAATTAATATCACCTAGTATATCTTGCTTTAATAAATTAGAAAATAATAATAACTCACCGTTGGGAGAAGTGAGTGGCAGAGTACCCTTCCAAGTTCTTTGTTTGTGAGTTATGAAGTTTTAACAGCTAACAGACAGGATATTGTGAAATTCTGCAGTGCTTTTGAGGAACTAAAACCTCTCCCAGCCAAAATGGAGAAATATACAGGCTAAGATTATTTGAAGAATCAACTATTTGAATCCAACTATTTACTCAGTATGTCAACTTGTGTTACTGTATATGGATATCATTCCTGACACTTGTTAAGACAATGGCATCCTGGGCCCTACAAGGATGCTGAACTGAAGAAATTTAAATAGCAGTACAAGGCTAAATAGGTCTATTAGGTCTGGTTGATTGAGGAAGGTAAGCCACTCTTCCCCCAGAGCTTCTATTAACAGGTACATTTTTAATTCATAAGGAGGTGGGGTGAGAGGAGTCATTGCAGCACACAAGGGATAATAGATTCAATTAAGCAAGGGTGGATTGCTCCAGGTGCCACTCCAGTGGTAACTTGAATAACAGCCACTTGTTCAATTTGTGTAGGTTTTAATCAGCTTGCTATTCAAGTCATATCCACCAGTGACCATCTGCTAACTTGCACCCCTTCTTGAGCATTTGCAGAAAAAAATATTATTATTATGCCCAAGGCAGTCCTTGACTACGATTGAACTATTCTTTAGTTCTAAAGCCATAACTCCTTCTGGTGCCATAGCTTTCACCAAGGAAATTGTGCCCAGGTATGACCCACTTGCTTACAAGAACTCTGATGGGGTGAAGGGTCTTATTTCATTGTATTCTAGAAATGGCCTGATATTCTCCCTTTGGCTTGATCTGCAAGCCACGGTGGAGAGGGAATGCTGGTTGTGAACAGATGAATTTTTAGATGAAATTTTGAAAGAAGATATGAGAAAAATAAGCATAATCTAGCCCCAAGTTATAATTAGTGAAATTTTGCCCTTTGAGGCAGAATTTCTTGGGACTTTAATTTGCTGCTATTCTAAGTTTTGATTTCAAGTGTAGGTGATTGACTTCTCAAAAGACCACCAACTAGTTCATCATTCAGGGGAAATGTCATGTGCCCCCCCCCCCAGTCTGAGGACTACCATAAGTGGATGTCTGTCCCTGAGAAAGTTGAGAGAATGACCTTGTAAAGGTGAAGGTAGGATTCACTTAACCCATCCCCATCTGGACAAACAAGACATTTTCCCCTGGTTAATTCTGAGCCTGCCTGTGACATCGTGTCTTACGATTAGCTGCCTATGATGCATACTTGAAATCAAACAGAATTAATACTTCTATATCCTTGCTTTTCTCCTCACATAGCAAATTCCATTGTTAAGGGCAAGTGTAAAAGAGATGAACCCTACTGGTGACTTTTGATTAAGTAACATAGGCTAGCATAGCACTATTACCATTTGAACCACAAATAATAGAGTTCATAACATCCTTTCATTATGTTAATATGATAACGATATCCTCATAAGGGTGAATTAGTGAGAAATGTGACACAATTTTCAAAATCAGGTTAAAGATTTTACATTGTTTGAAATGTCTGTCTAATAATATCAAGAGGAACACAGATTCATTTTCCAATTCAGGCCCTCATGATGTAACAATTGAAATTCCCTGAAGTTTCAGGTGAATCATGTGTTCTTATATAGTGATTCTTCTTATAGCTCTATTTTATATTGAGTTTATGTTAAGTCTCAGAAGCTGAGAAGTAGATCTAGAAGGAAGAAGCTCCTTTAGAACTGACCCAGGAACATAGTTTATTCCAATGATATACAATTACAAACCAGGCTGAGAGAACTGCACAGTATAGGGCTTCAGTACAGTATAGACCCTTAAACTTTTTTCATCTACATCAAAGCTATGTGAGCCTCAGTAATTGAATTCACCCAAAGCTATGATTATTGGAACTTGCTGTTAGAACTTATGGGACTTTAATAATTGATATTACTTGGAGTCTGATTCCAGGTATGATCACCAAGAAATGCTATTAAAAAAAAAAAGAAATGCTACTGAGTCAATGATCTATGAGATCAATAGGTGACAAGAATGACTTTGGCTACTTCAGATGCAGTTTTGTCTCAAGGAAAGGTGGGGAGAGCAACTTCTAGCATGGGCTATGAAATGGGAGTAAATGCTGTCTAAGCCAGCAGCCAGGCTACAATCAGGTGAAATCCTGGCCAATTATATGGGAGAATTAAGATCCAGAAACATAACTGGTATTCTCTTCCATCTTGGACAAGTTGCACGGGATGAACAAATGTGATGGCGTTGCATTTCATATCATTAGAGGGAATATTCACATCACAGTGATCCAAATATTTTCATAGGGCATAAGTTAACTTTGGGAGAAATTGCACATTTTATCTTCTTGTAGATAATCTAGAATAATTTGTTTCAAAAGATACTTCCCATTAGGGGAAGAGTGATTCCTGGAAATGAAACTAAGGATTATCTTCAGGAAATAATCGTGCTGTTGGAGGTGTACTGATCCAGGACTTTCACCCAGCAAATGATTAATAAATGCCAATTGCTTGATTGTTCATGACATTTCTGACATTTTGGATTCCTTTTTTGGAATTCCACTCTGCATTGCCCCTCTTCCTCAACAAGGGCAATTAGAAGCATTCCTGGACTTGAGTCTGAACGTGATGGTACACAGCACTTTGGTTTATCTGGGATGAAAAGGAGAATACCATCTAGCCTGCAGTTTCTGCAAAGGTTAATTTTAGGTAGCATTAACACAACAATCTAGATAGCGTTCCGGGCTCTGAATGTTTGGGTTGGTTTTTTTTAAATAAATGCTGAAATGTCTTTGTGAGTTTTGGGGTACCACTCTGTACTATATATTTTAAAGAAAAATAAGAATAAAACATCATGAAAATTACATGGAAACAATACTTAGATCTTTTATCAAATTCCCTAGAGAGCAACAGATTTATTGTATTAGTGGAAGGAAGGAAGGTTATTTCTCTGACTAAAGAAAAAAGAGGAACTGAAGCTAGTTTGAAAGTAGTATCAGTGAAGCACCCAAGTGAAGGGGGTGGGGGAAATGGATTTGCAGTTTGTAGTTTGAATTTATTTAGTACTTAAGAAATGCCAATTATTAACTCTTTTCTTCACCATAAGAAGAGAGAACTTGTTTAAATCAGGGGGCAACTTAAAGGCAAATAAGATTTCATTTGGGAGAATGTTTTATATTACCATTGTGTTTTCTTCTGTGAATAATAGAATGTAATTGCTTAGGTAAACAAAAAATAAAATTGCCTAAAAGAAATTGGAATGGACTCTGCATTTGTAAACTCTTAAGAATACAAAAAGATAAAAGTATTGCAATCATTTGGTATTGTATAGTAAAAATTGTGTTAATTTGCAAAGGAGAAATTCAATGAAGTGAAGTTAGTAGTTAGCCTGGGATATAATTGGGAAGTAAAGACTAAAAGAACTGAGAAAGTAGAATAAAGTAAGAGAAATGTCAGGTTAGAATATGAATGGAAACAAGAAAGGTGTGGTCTTTTAGAGCTTTAATCAGAGTCCACCAGGTAAATGAAAATAAAAGAAGAGAAGATTGTCTACCAGTGTGGGTGTTAACCCAATAAACAGCTTGTTAGCCCCTCAGTGTCTGGTCTGTATTTGCGTTTGGTTCTGGTTTGCTCCAGCACTGATAATTTTGCCCACAAAGGCAATAAAATAAAAGATTAATAAACAACTTGTACACAGACCATGTGGTGGTGGCTCTTCTCAGACTTATGTGTTCCTTAACCAATCTCTAGATATGACTGAAACCTAAGAGTTCACACACTTCGTTTAGGTACCTAGACTCTGCTTCCCTCCAATCATTCCCAATGGAGGCAAGCCAGAGTAACTCAGTATTGCTGTGCTGACAGACTGCAGGAGAGTCACTATCTAGTCACCTAAAGGAAGCAATGGTTTAGGTGACTCGTCTGATCTTTGGCCCCTTCTCTAGGGCAGCCACCAGCAATGCCAATGCAGATACTGATTCATCCTCTAGCCACTTTTCCTTGATGATGGCTGCCCTGCTTTTGATGGCTGCTCTACTTGGGCTATGCCCTTAATGTCTACTGCTTAACTATTGACTTCCATGAGCCTACTCCTGCCTAGAGGCCTAGGCTTACTGTCACAGAGTCATCATAGAAGACTACTACAGAGCCAGAGACAGGCAATCTCTGTGCTAGTGCCATTTTAGCTTTTCTTTTCCCATTGCCATCTTCTTCTAGAGTTTGGGAACCAGCTGCCTCTATATCATTTCTACCCCGGCCATTGCCCTTTGCTTTGCTCCCAACTCTTAAGCCATAAGCTCTGTTTCAGGGTAGATATTTGGCCTATATAGAAAGATATAAACTTCACTGCTTGTGGAGCTCTTTACATGTCCTGATAGAATTACACTCTTCTTTAGAATGACACTCTCAACAACACGAGACTCTGAAATGTTGATTTAAATAGATGTCAGCTTTTCAGACTTAGCAATTGAAAGACCAGAGATGGTCTTGCAGGGCAAATAGTGGAGCTTACCACCCATCTCATGCAAGCGAGGTAGGGGACTAGTACAGTGGGAAGTTGTTACTGTAGGGGAATGAAAGGTGGCACTACCACATGGGGCAGTTGTTATGGGGGAAGAACAGATGCCAATGGGGAATGGCATAGATACACAGCCTCCATTGACTCTAGCTCCATAGGCAAGCTTTTGACAAAATGCAATACTCTTTCCTACTTTAAAAAAATACTAGAAAGCATAAGAATAAATGGAGCTTTTCTTAAAATGATAAACAGTGTCTATCTGAAACCAAGAGCAAGCATTATCTGTTATGGGAATAAGCTTGAAGTCTTCCCAATAAGACCAGGGGTAAAGCAAGGATATCCATTATCACCGCTGATATTCAATATTGTACTAGAAATGTTAGCTATGGTGAGAAGGCTAAAAAAGAAAAAAGAAATTTGAAGAAATAAGAATAAGAAACAAAGCTATCACTCTTCACAGATGGTGGGCAGCTAGGTGGCACAGTGGCTAGAGTACCATGCCTGGAGTCAGGAAGAC